TTGGAGAACCACTGTCATGGCATCATGAAGGATAGCCGACTGAAAGTAACGTTATCGTTACATCCACGGTACTTGATAAAGTTATGTTAGCTTGCATGCCGCTTGCATGTTTTAATTGTTTGTCCCAGCTTCCTGTTTATTTAGTCCATAAGTATTTTCCTACCAAGCACAGGCCTGTAAACAGGTACTTTTGGGTGGCGGAGGAGCTGCATTGCAGGATTCTGCAAGTCGTTGAATAAGACTTTGCATTTAAACAGTAATTAGTTCATTTACCTCCTTTCACATTATTGTTTAGTTTTTTATTGTTTCATGAAAATGTAATACATATTGTCATAGTTTTTGCATTCAAGAGTTACTTTTGCGTTTAGTTTTTGTATTTTTTTGTTCATTCGCCAACAAATATTTTTCTTGATAGTTTTCATTGATGAAATTAAAAGTGATTTGCGGTGCCTCTTAACATGAACCTTATCATTGTCCTCTGGTTTTTCCATCCATGCTAGAAAAACTACTCAAAAAAGACTCGGACTCAATAAAGAATCAAAATAGAGAAAAAAAATAAAGGAATTAATAAATAAAGTGTTATAATATAATAGTTTATAAACATCCGCCTGAGGAAAATTGTTTAGTGGGCGCAAGTTTAAGAACCTTTCTATAGGAGGTCTCATTTAGTCATGGTAGCTAATACTGCTAATGCCAACAGTCCAGTTTTTCTTCTTCTCTATATTCCAAACAAAACAATCACCAAAATACATAATTTCTTTCTTTTATGGCAGAAAAGAACAACCAGGCCGTTGAGTGTACAAAGCTAGTACAAGTACAAGCTACAAAGATTTATGAGCTGGATACATGTTGACTTTTGTTGTTTTAAAAAGTCATTGATTATTTTGTATATTCATTAGTTAGAATCTCTGTTAAGATGCCTAGTACCGTTTGGGTTTATTGAAATAGGTGTTTTAGTGCTGGTTTTACATTTTGAGCAGGACACTTCACATCAGCCAGAGCTTTTGCAACACTGTGTAGCTTTAACAAAGATATTCTGACTCAGAGTCTCGCAGTAAGAAGCAGGGAATTTAATTTGAAAGATCAGTTTATGATAAACACAACACCTACACATGAAGTAAACAGTGTAAAAGTAATTCAACATGCATGTAAAAAACGTTGTATGCGATAATGAATCAGAATAAGGCAGGAGCGTCTGCAGACAGACAATGACAGACATTAAAGTGCTTACATGCAGAGAATAACAAATGAGGCTGTTTCCTTTGATTCTAACAGTCATTTACAGCATTGATTGTTTGCTGGCTGTATGGACAGCAGAGAGGCCGGCTATTGGCTCAGGTCATCACCTTATAAACGCACTCAACGCCTCCTCAATACAGTCACACTGCATCACCACGGATGGATGGAGGGATAGATTAATAATGAACACAAGGGTTGAGGGACATGACTCATTTTAACTGCTTCTTATAGCTGTCAATTCGGCAGTTTATTTATTTATTCATTTATTGTTTTATTTTTATGTTGCACTTTTATTTATTTTATTTATTTTATTATTTTATTTTTATTTTATTTACAGTAAAAGTCCAATTGTAAAAGTCAGATTTTTAAAATTTTTCATAGCAAAAATCACAACTCCAAACTCTCCACACTGGGGAGAGAGTTAATAGTAGTAAAAAAGTAAAAAAAAAACAACACAATCTACATGATTTTCTCCAGAAAAGGGAATGAAATTTTGTTTGCGATGGAAACTAGGGGCTACAGGACCAGAATCAAACTACAGCATAACACAATAACTGTATTTACTAACTAAAAAGTGAATATATTGTTAAGGTACCTTTAAATTTTTCTATAAAGAAACTAATAAAACGGGGCACAGTTCAGCTCAGCCGGTAGAGCGCACTCTACGTACAAGGCTTTTGCCTTTGCTACATGTTGTCCCCTCTTTCACTCCCTCATTTCCTGTCTCTCCACCTGTCCTCTCCCTGAGAGTTTGCTGCGGAGTCTCTGGGGAGATTTTCTTGAAGAGGCACTCTGCCAACCCGACACTTCAGGATTTTGAGTTCACTGGTCACAAGGAGTAATGCTTACCTTTCGAAAACAGTTATATAAAGTCTTCTGCGCCTCTGGAAGATCTTTGTCAAGTCTGAGAAAATAAGCCTAGCGATGTCATGTCAATTTTCAAGTCAAGCCAAATTTATTTATAAGGCCCGATTTCACAAATTTGCCTCCAAAGGTTTTATAATGTGTACAGCATACAACACCCTCTGCACTAGATTTAGATGGAGAAACCCCTCACTCCACCCTTTTAACAGGGGGAAAAGGAAGAAAGAGCAGCAGAGGAGGGATCCCTCTAAGAGGACAGACAGACATGCAATAGATGTTGTGTGTTCAGACTAGACCAACACCATATAATTACAGTATGGACAATCATGATGACAAAATAATAATAAGAACATTGTAAATTACTTCAGGTGTTGCCAAACAGTCCTGAGTCACATTGTCTCCTCTTCACTATGAAGACCTGAAAAGGACATGGTCACTATGGAGACTACAGATTTCAAATAAAAAGTCTGTGTTACAAACTGGAGGCGTATAATATATATGAGTGACTACTAGACAGGAGGAGTTTGACGAAAGAAGCTATGGAGAATTATGGAAAATGTAGGATCCTTTCTTTAAGCTTGTCTGTGGATCAAAAATGTGAGACCCTAACCTCTGTCCTCCTGAGTGAAAGTTGACTTGACACATCCTCCCCAGCACCTCCTTATACAGACTTTGTCGCTCTTTGCGCTACGTACTTGACTTCTTCTCCTGTCACGGCCTAACAGAAAATATGGCTCGTAATAAACTGCTGCATAATCCACCTATACGCCTGTTTTTCTGGTGAGGATAGTCTGCAATCCACACAACTCAATTCCCTGCGGAGTTTTTAAGCTCTGAATTTTACCTTTTGCTTGTTCTCTGGTGTATTGAGTAAAGCGTTTTCTCCACAGGCAACCGTTCAAATCCATTTTCCAATCCATCCATTTTTACAATTAGCTACAGTGGGCGAGGAAATAAAATAAATGGCTCACATCTTCTCTTCTTGCACACCTCTTATGGCCCACTGAACTACTTTCTGTCCACAAAACGTCTGATGTCAGCAGGTTTTCAGGTTGGAATCAGTGTGGATTCATTCCAGCTGGATGAGATTTCATACTGCTTACATGCTGCTGATTTCTCATGTCTGGTGTGAAATGTGGTTAGCAATAAGGTAAAATGTAAAGTTTGTCCTGACTGTAGCACTAGAGGAGAGAGGTCATGGGGTCATCAGTAGAAAAAGTAATACTTTCATGACAATTTGACCATTCATTTGAATATTTCATGAGTACAGACCATCATGTTCCACAGAAAAGTTTCAGTGCAGACTGGTCGCTGCTTGTTGGCATATGTTGCACTGGTTGGGCTGATGGCTCAGCCTTTTTGCCCTGTAACGAGAGCAGCAAAAGAAAAAAGCTCCTTTGTTTAAATGGAGACTTATTTGGTTTATGTTTCATGTTCGTGCATCTTGTTTCATGTGCTATTTTCCCCTGTTGCTCTGAAGAAGTATTTTTAGACCTCAAAACTTGTTTTTATGACTGAGACGTTGGCAGACGGAGCAGCGAGGCTTTTAAGCAGGTGTAAATCAGGTTTGTATAACGTTTAACACCCAGCAGGCCTGTAATAATCACAGCTGCGGATAAGAGGCTAATGATTTGTTGCTGAGGCTTGTTTAAAACATTTCAAATCAACTGGAGTTATTTCTTTTTGTTTAAACTGCAAGTGTAGGACTCGACCCTGACCTTAAACTGTAACATGATCACACAATTATGTGATGGATATCTTAAAATGTACATATTTTTGACTTTGTTTTACCATAAATATGCTTGTACTACCCACAGTTTTACAGTTCATCACTTAAACTAATCTTTGGTTATAAATACTCTGGAACAAACTTTTTATTTAACTGAAGGTTGTGTATATTCAGCAAAAAGCAGCATTTGTTGAAGTGAGACTTAACAGCTTTCTAGTTGTTAGCTTGTCTCTTAATTTAAACATCTGATTGTTTTCTCCTCTGTTGTTTTAGATCTGTAATACGTCCTGATGCTTTTAAGTCCAGTGTCTGTTTTTATATTGAAGTCCGACAAACCAAGCACAATCAGAAAAGAGATAACAGACTGTAGCTATATGAATGAAATTACATTTGAAATCTTTCTAAAAAAGCAAAGCCAACAACATAGATTAAAAATACAACAACAAAAATAAAGCAAATGAATAAAAAAATCACGGATGGTGCACAGTTTGTCCATAAATAACTTTTTTTGGGGTTTCCCACAATACATAAATCACTGATATTTTAAAATATTGCCTTCTTGCAAAACGGCAATGATGTAATGTCACTCTATCCTCCTTACATTTATGTTCTTTATTAGTTAACCGTCTTTAAACTACGTGGATACACTTAATCATATTTGATCCCACTCCCACTCTATTTGCCCCAGTTTTGTTGTGTGGAAACTATTTAAAAAATGTTGCCAGTAAGAGCTATTTTCATTTTAGTGCTTTATTGAACAGGACACTAATCATTGATTAACAGAAAACATATGTAAACTGTAAACAAGTAGGAGATGGCTTAGATGATTACTTTTTTTCTGTTGCCCTAGGCCAGATTAAAAAGCCATCATAACAATAGGTTTAAAAGACATGCCATAAATTGGTATGTACAACGTAATAATTATGCACAGAACTGAACAGTTCTCTTCCACAAATAATGCCACTATTAACATGACGGTCAGCTACAACTGATACTAAATAAGTAAATATAAAGAAAAAAGAGCATGATGAGATTTATTTTTTAGATTAACTGATTTTTATTGTTTTGGAGGACAGAACTGAAACATCGCCAAGTAAAACATACATACACATAGCACAGTTTACTTGTGTGTTTATTTTAATGTTTCGATAGGAGGAACTACTTGCCGTAATGTAGTTAATTTTCAGCATGGCGGAGTGATACACGAGTGTTTGGCCGCGGTTTTCTTGTTCAAGTTTGAGGAAGACATTTATGCTGAGTAAATTGTTCTTTCTGTGCTTTGCCTTCAAACCGACATTAGGCACCAGTAGTGTGCATCAGTGTTCACCACAAGATTACAGTAACGTTACCTCCCTAAGTGAAACTGTCAAGCGTAATGGCGCGTCTCGACAGAAGGAAACGGGTTTGCTAGCTGCATGTTGCTGGTCTTATTTCCCTCTGTTTTCTTCAGGTTAGTATCCTTCAAAAGGCCCGTGTTTTGTCAAAATAATTTCAGTTCAACATAAAAGTGGGTACTGTCCTGTTCCCTTCTCAGATAGACGTGTATTGTGTTTATCTCAGTTACTGAAAAACTCCCCTTCTTATGTCATTCTTAGCTAACTAGCTTTAGCTTAGCTCAGTTAAAATGAACGTGTTGCTGTAAAAAAAGGTAACGTTAACTTAGTGGCTCTCCTACTGCTCATAGCAGGTTGGTGTTCACTCTCATGCAATACTTTGAAGTAGTTAAAGGGATGTTTTTTTTCTCTAGCCTCATTTAAACTTCTTCTAGCTAACCTTACAGCAGCTTTCTGACTGGGCTTTCCATTTATTGGCAGGTTGTTAACATGCTAAGTGCTGGTTAGCATCCATTCCAGACAGAACTTCACCAGGTAACATTAGGCTGCAAGTCCATCTGTTAAAACTGTAATAAATAACCTGTAAGTAAGGTCTACATACTTACAGGACATCACCTCGGGTACTGGGAAATTCTGACAGCATTTTTCACCATATTTTGAATGTTCATAAAACAAACAAAGAATCTTAATCAGATGTAATAAATGGCACATTCATTGATGATGAAAATAATCTTTGCAGCAGTTGCAGCCCTAGTCATCAATTGCTCAATCTGATTTTGCTGCCCTTTATAGATAAAAGTCTGTCTTTAACAGATGTGCTGGGGATAAAAGTTCATGTACTAATTTCAGTTCTGACACTTTGTATTTGTGTGTTCCAGATCTATGACGCAGAGGGGACGTTACAGCACTTTATTGATGGTAATGATCCCAGTAAGTCGAGCTGGATGAGGTATATCCGCTGTGCCAGACACTGTGGGGAGCAGAACATGATGGTTGTACAGTACAGGTAAGAACAAGTCTTAATTCTTTGACCCACATTTGGTGGATGCTTGTCATCCAAAACTGCCCTCTATTGTACCAGGAGTTTGTGAAAGCACTGTATACCAATACCCTATAATACTAAAATACCATGAAACACATTTTTAAGTTAAGTTAATTTTAGTAGGCTCCACTTGGAACATTTGGTCTCACCACTGGGGACCCTCAGATGACTGAAAGGAGGGGATTAAGGACAAGAATAGGGGTGATTGACTGTGCTAGAGATACCTATTACATCTCTATTTCAGAACTATTTCAAAGGATTTGCAGCAGTTATCAAAAGTTTCTTTAAAAAAGAAATAAATTCAGTTCTTCCCTTCTCTTGAGTTTAATTTATGATTATATCAGGTGTATACTTTGAGCATTTTTTGTTTATTTAGAGTCATCTTTAATTTGCACCAAACACTGCCTTTAGGCTGCTCACGAATAGATGATGTGGTCACACAGTTAGACAAGATAAAATAACATTTTGGATTTTGGCAGCTTCAGCAAACATTAAAACGACCATCATACCAACAAATAAATGGACTGAATACACCAGTTCCCCCCAGAATTGTCTTAAGCCGTGAAAGATACTGTAATTACATTAAACCTTTACACATAAGGTCAAATTGGCATCTACAAACTGAAAACCATTAGCAGCTAACACTGTAGTTGCTGCTTCAACAGAATAAGGAATATAGAAATGCTAGACATAACACAGAAATGTACTTCTAATTTAAATTTTAATGGTCCCACAAAAGAAAGCTTTTGTTAGTTGTCTTACATTACCCCTAATGTAAGAAAAAGCCAGTCAGTCAGTGTGGTGTACAGTTTATTTAAAGAAACACAAGAACGCATTTTAAGAGTTAAGTAGTGAATTCATTGAGAAACGGCCAATAAAAGCACCTCTCCTTACAAAAAATGTATAAATGAAAAATCATCATAAAACTGAGTGACTCACAGTGTGACTCATTTACAATATTAAAATCAATTATTATGAACTTACACTAGTAAGCAAAATTCTAACAAAACAAACAAAAATACTAAAACAACTAAAACATCAGTTATTTTCCACACCCCTATACCCCGGACTTACTAAAAAGGGCTCAAAATGTCCGCGAGAGAGCCCTCACGCACTTGACAGTTTGACAGTGGGACAGTGTGTGATCTTTCACTGATATTCTGTGATTAGACAATATTTATTCAGCAGTATCTTGTCTGTGTTATAAGGACTTAACGACTTAACTTTCAAAAGAAAAAAAGATTGATTAACAGACTTTTAAGAACAGACATGTCTGAAAGTATTTGTTTATTACTACAATACAGTATTTGTATATCAAACCTTGGTTAGATGGAGTAATGTAAGTTCTGTTTAGTAAGTACCGAAAAAGCATCAAATGTACATAATCGATAGGCAAACATTATACTCTTCAAAACCAAAAGCTGTCACAATGTCACAACTAAAGCTCTGCTGCTGTTGTGACATTTAGATAAAAGAATCTCATAAAATGCTGTAAGCCTTATCTGCTGTGGCTTTCTCTGCATTTTCTTGTACCCATGCGTTGACTTCTTCTTCATGTTTTTCTGTAGTTCATTGATTTCTTCTTCCAGACTTTCTGCGTTTTCTTCATACAGATTCTGTTGAAGCTCATTCATTTCTTGTTCTTGTTTCTTCTTCAGTCTGTTGAAGTCTTTCTCATACGCTTAGTTCATGAGCAGGTTTTTCATAATGAGGTCATTGTTTTTTTGTTGCTTTTGCTTCATGTCCTCCATTTCCTTGTCGTGCTTTTCCATCAGAGCTGCAAAGTCTGTCGTATATTTGTTTATGAACTCATTGAATTCTTCAGCTTGCCTTCTGGCCTCCTCTGCATTTTTTCTTTTCATTTCCTCCACTCTTTTCTCATAGTTTTGTTGTGCCACTTTCCATTCTCTTTCCTCTACTTTTCTTCTGAGTCTATCTTCTTTTCTTTTGTTTTCATATTCCTTTCTTTCCTGCTCATATTCTTCTCTGAGCCTTTTCAGTTGTGCTTGTTCTTCCTCTTGTCTCTGTTGATCTTCTCGATATCGTGTCTCCCACCATTCTTTTCGTTCTTTCTCCCAAGCCTCTCGTTCTCGTCTTATGTCTTCTCTATTTTGCATCAACTTTCTGTCAGCAGTTACGTTTTTTTCTGATTCAGATTTTATTTTGTTCTCCAGAGCTTGGAGTTGCTGTTCCCACTGCTGTCGCAGTTGTTCTTCTTGCATTTTTGAATTTCTGTTGTCTTCTTTCCTCTTTTCCTCTTCTCTCCTCCTTTTCTCCTGTTCTTTGTTGATGTACTCTTCTTTTTCCTTCAGTTTTTTGTCTCTCTCTGCTCTTTCTTCTTCGTCTTTTTCTTCTTTGCTTGAATTTCTTCATCGTGTTTTCTTTCTAGCTCCTCCTTCTCTCTCTGCATCTCTCTTTCTTTCTCTTTCAGGATCCTCTTCACTTCCTTTTGTATTGCTGCCTCAGCTTCTTGGAACATCGCTGTGGTGTAGTAGCTACCTCCATTTTTCTTCCCATTGTTTCTACATAGTTCAACAGCTGTCTGACTTGTGTTTTATTTGTTTGATCTTTGTTATTGAAGACCAGGTATCTTCCTCCACAGTCAGCAATCAGTTTTTTGACAAAGCCGTCACTTTCTTCTTCCATGTAACTCTCCATTGTTTGATATGTTGTATGTGAATATAACAATGATGAAGTCTCCTGACTTCTTGCCAAAAGTCCGCTTGATCAGTTTCTTTTTCCTCTTGTGTAAAGCGGCCGATCTGCACCACCAGTAAAAGTACATGAGGTCCTGGAGCCAACAGGCTGATGCATTTCACAAGTTCCTGTATAACTTCATCGTTGGACAGTGTCGTGTCGTACAAGCCGGGGGTGTCGACCACAGCGACAGGCCTTCCATCAATCTCTCCCTTGGCTTTTTGGCATTGCGCGGTCACTGACTTCATGCAGGCTTTAGATTTGAAGCATTCTTTGCCCAGAATGGTGTTTGCAGTGGCACTTTTTCCACAACCAGTCTTCCCAATCAGCGCTATCCTGATATGCTCTCTGCTCTGATTCTGATCATGTCCTGCCATCTCCAGTTGAGCCTTACAACTAGCCTTTATCTGTCGAGGCTTGACAATCATTTGTTTTGTGAAGCATCTGGATCCCGCATCTGTCATCTTTTTCACAGTATGCAACACCGTAGAGTCCTGCTGCTTGTCCTTGATGTTGATGACAATGTAGCGTCCTCCACAGCTCTGACAAAGCCCCTGGATGTCCTTGTTTTCTTTTAGAAAGCTAACAACAGCTGGATCTGCAGAATCTGCCTCCACAGTGAACAGAATCATGGTGAAGTCATTCACTCGAGAGCTGAATGTGTTTTGGATGGTCTCTAACTCCTTCTTGTCTCCATCAGTGAGGGGACCCACAGGTAGGACCAGGATGAAGGCATGGATGCCCTCAGGATCAAAGAGGGAGAAACACCTAAATGTATCCCTCTTGACTGTCTCCTGAGGTTTTCCATACAAAGCAGCAGCAGCAGCTCCACCACAGAAACCCGACATCCACACACCTCTGCCTGATTTCTGACACACTCTGAGTCAGCAGGTGGACCAAACTTTCTTTCTCCCAGAATGGCATTGGCTGCCAAAGTCTTCCAGGTTCCAAATCTCCCACACAACACTAAGTTGAGAGGAAGTTACAGATACTGTCATGGGATCATCCCCTCCAGTACAGTTTAGATGTCGTCCCCTGTTGTCCCACACTTGGCCATCTTTTCAATGAGTTCTTTAAGATCAGATTCTGATGGATCTTTTCTGTCGAAGTTAACTCTGTGCTGCCTTTGTCTGCAGTCTCGTGTGAGTTTATCTACTGCAGAATACTTTCCTTCCTCGCTATGTGTAAAGATGACCATCGAGTATTTAAAGGCATCTTGACCAAAGAAGCTCAGAATGAACTTTAATTTTTGTCTATCCTCTTCACTGAAATCAGAAGGCTTCACTAACAGCAGCAGAACATTTGGTCCAAGGGGGCAAAGAGCAACACACTTTTTCATTTCATGTCTCACTTTATCCTCAGGCAGACTGAAGACGTCTGAGGTTTTCACCATCGTTAAGGATATTTTGTTACACTCTCCTTTAGAGACTGTACATTGAGTCGACATTTTCAGAAAAAGAAAATCTTTCCTCTCTGTCATGAAGTTGGTTAGCATTGTCTTTTTATTCTGACTCTTTCCAAACACCACGATCCTGAGTTCAAATGCTGTAAAACAACAACAAAGAGCATTACAAATTTCCACAATGACATTGAGCACATTGTTATCTGCTTTCCATTTAAATTTGTAATTCATGCATAACGTGAATGTCAACATCGTTAATTTCTTCCATCTTGCAGCTGGCTTAAAGTATGTTTAGCACAGTAACTTTTATTCTACCCGGTCGCCGTGGTTTTAATGTGTTCTTACTAACTGCATCTGTGATATATATTGATATGTGTCACCAGAATTACCGTGTGCTGCAGATGCCATGATGTCACTTTGATGGAAACTTGTCAGAGAGAAATTCAAGCAGACAAGATGTTGGTGTCTGTTGGATTTCAGGAAACACAAGACATTATCTTGCAAATAAGTATTTATCACACAGATAATAATTATTGAATGGTAAAACATTCTCCTTTACATCCTGTAAAGCAAGCTCACTGAGTATAAAATACTACTTCCATGGTGTACCAGAATGCTTTGTCTATAGATATTTGTTTAATTTTTTTAATTTTTTTTATTTAACCTGTCCTGCCCAGCAGCCTTGTATAGAGTATGATGACCTGGATACCATATTGTGCCAGACAGATTTTACTTTAACAAGAGAGTATAAATATACTCCTTTCTCTGTTTTATTATTTATTTAATTATGTATTGATTTGTCACCGGGCCGGACAGGGGGCAGACACGGGGATAGGGGGGCACAAACAGACAGCACAGAATGCTTTGTCTGTAGATTAAATAACAATGAATGCCCAATGCACTTGGATAAACCATTATGACAATAAGCCAGTCTTTAACAAACATCTATATCTTTTATCTTCTTTTATACTCTCTCGCGGCACTTACATGATCTGAAATGATAGTGAATTGTTATAATTATCGTCATCATGCAGGTTTGATATATGTAGAAACACGTTATGTGTTGAGTTTATGAAGTTCTAAGGAAGCGCTGAATATCTAGCAGTATCTCCGCCATT